AACAATAGTTTATTCTAATTATAATTAAATAATAGTTCTACTTTAATATTCGCTTAACATAATTGAATTAATGCAATGAAATAATAATTTCGAAATGTTTTTGAATTCTTATTGGATTCTATAATAAATCAACATTTGTATGCTTATTACGAGTATTGAGGCTACGATTTCTGAGTAATTTAAGTATATTAGAAATTGTTTTGATGAGCGCATTTTGTATGCAACCTCATATACAAATATTTAAATTTAAAGCTGGATTCTGAAAGTTTAAATGAACTTTGAAACAAACTTATTTTTAGTGAAATTATTGCACGTATGTTTGTTTTAGGTGTAAGATTAAATTAATTTAATTAAATTGTGTTGAGAAGTGGTATTTATCATGTTGGAAGTATTGTTGTATGTTTTGTTTCAGATTGTCAGGTAGGTTGTGGAAAGAACAATCGAAGTTATTTGTTGTTATGGTGTTACTGTTGTTGTTTAATTTTATTTTCAAGTGCTTGGATTTGGTGTGTGTTTATTTTATATTATTTTAGTAGTTTTGGCGTGTTTATAAGTTTTATGTAAAGTTTTTTTGGGAGTTTCCTCGACTTTAAAGCTGTTGTGAGGTGAGGTAAGGTTCTCTTTTTTTTTGTTGTAGTTGCGATGATGTTGTTCAGGTGGAAACACCGTTTGCAGGTAAACAGGACTCTTCGAAGGATAACGAAAATGGTTCGCATCCTGACTGGAGGATTAGTACGGTGTAAGTCCGTGCACGTCGCGGCGCCTTCCGTCGTCGAACCATCAGTAATGGTGGTTGTCTGGTGGGAGTGTGTATGCATGTATAGTCTCTCCAGTCCTAACCTGTACAACCGAGCATAAATGTTTGTTTTACAGTGAAAACTGTCAAAAGCGAAGTTTCCGCGAATTCGTCCGTCCCGAGCGAAGTGCGACCATCCTCCGGTGCCAGCTGTCATCTGAAAGCCGAGTGCAGAACACCAGAAGATCTTCGTTATTGTTGTTGTTGTTTTCGTACGTATACATTATATATACTTGTTGCGAAATCTCGGTGTAAACAACAATAATAACAAGACTACCCTGAGCTGGGACTACTTCAGACGAGGTGCGTCGAGCTATGAAGAAGAGTGCGGTGTTGGTGGTGATTCCTCTGGTTTGATGTGCGGCTCCGAAGTGCGTCCACAATGAACTCGCGTGCTCATTTTTTGAACAACTCGTTGGCCATCCGGCAGGAAATCCAGAGATTCGAGAGCGTCCATCCGTCCATCTATGCCATCTACGATCTGATAGACCTCGTGCAGGAGCCCCAGGTCGCCCAGCAGATCAGGGATCACGTCGTCTGCATAGAAGGTGAGCGCCCAACAGCGATTGTTGTTGTTGCTGCTGCTGTTATAATAGCCCATTGGCCGTTGTTGCCCTATCGAGCGTCGACTTTCTACCTGATTTCGTAACATCGTGCAGGTACCAGATTCTACAGGTCTCGAGGGCGTTCTTCTCCTATTCACCTCTCTCACCCATACCAACACCATTCTTACCTCTCTTTGTCTCTCTATCCAAATCTTACCTCATCCCAAACACGTGTTATCATCATCTCTTGACTTTCCTCCACTTACCGATACAAAAGCCTCGCTTGCAACAGTTACATAAATCCTTGGCAAGGACGCATCCCTAATCATCAACCGCATTTATCGCTGACTAAATTCATTAGCAAAACTCGCTTAAGTTCATTAAGTGACCAAGGAATTCCATCAATCGGATGACAGAAATTCAATTACGAACGCAGACATTCCGGGATCACTTTCTATATAGAGAACGTCTTTTCCAATAAGACCATTTTCGCCGTGTTATTATTGCATTGTGTATAGTTGGGGGTTACGCAATAACCGCAGTTACGTGAGGGGTCAGGAGGAAATGTCTTCTACGTTCTCCTCTCCCTCGTCCCCAAGCGCTTTCTATTGTCTCGGGGAAATATTTCACTATTCTTCATATTTTCGCCCGATTTACTGTTATGGCTCTACGCAAATGCACCAAGAAATTGAGATAAACACAGCACCATATGAAATGATACCCAAAAGAAAAAATACAACAACTGTGAAAATATACGAGGCACGAAGAGGCTTTATTTAGATGCTGTTATATGCTGTTTCTTGAGAAATTCTGCTTTTCTGACCTACTTTAATTATACAAATATTTTCAATACTAATTCTATACTTAAAACTTCAGTTCAATACATATTTAAACTGAACTTTAATACATACTTATGATATATTGAAGGATTGACTTTAAGTTTACACTTAACGTTTTCTAATGTTACCAATCTAACCGACATCAATTGAACTTTAAACCTGATGATTAATAAGATGTTTGGCATTAACTGTGTTACTTGTTTAATTTCCAAAGTAAACATCTGAGATAAATCAATGTAGCATCTCTTTATCCGAGAAATATCACGTACTTAAAACATCATTTAACACGTATCTGACATAGTTTCGTAACTACTAAATGAATTCATATACAGATTGCAAAAATACTTTTTAATTCTAATAATTTAATGTTTATTTCAGTTGTG